TTATGGATGGTCTGGATCTTCGAAACCTTTAGGTTGAGCCACATAGATATCTTCGTGCAGATAGCCATTCAGGAATGCTGTCTTAACATCCATCTGGAACAGTGTGAATCCCAAAATACATGCGACAGCCAACAGAATCCTGATTGACTCGAGTCAAGCTACAGGAGCAAATGTCTCATCATAGTCAATTCCTTCAATCTGAGTGTACCCTTGAGCCACTAACCGAGCTTTGTTTCTTGTTATATTCCTAGCTTCATCAGTTTTATTTTTGAAGATCCACTTTGTTCCAATTATGTTGACACCATCAGGTCTTGAAACTAGATCCCAGACATGATTTCGCTCAAACTGATGCAGCTCCTCCTGCATTGCCTTGATCCACATATCATCCTGTAAAGCTTCTTTAACATTCATGGGTTCTATCTTTGAGGTATAGCAAGCAGACCCAGATATTTCTGTTAGATTATTTCTTATTCTGCTCCTGGTCTTCATCCCATCTGTTGGATCTGCAATGATGTTATCTGATGGATGATTTTTCTGAGTTCTGGTGGGTTTGTCTTTACCTGTATCATTTATGAGATTTGTCTCCTGTTCCGAACTTTCTTGATCTTCATTTGTGGATTCTTGTGATTTGGGCTGACTGCTGCTATCAGCGGTATTTGGTTCACTGAGAGGAAGCTTTGTTACTGAATCTGTCACTGCTGTGTCTACTGATTCTTCTGGACTGTCATCTATAACCACATTTACTGATTCCATCACAGATTAAGTCCTCTTGTTATAGACTCTGTAGGCACGACTGTTTGGAGAGTATCCAAGGAAGATGCTCTCATCACTCTTAGGTTCAAACTTCCCTCTTTGTTCTCTATCAGCCAGCACATAACACTTTGTCCCGAACACATGAAAATACTTCAGGTTTGGCTTCTTTCCCTTCTAGATCTCATATGGTGTTTTGGTCATTCCTGGTCTAAAATAGACCCTATTTACAGTGTGACAGGCTGTGTGTACTGCTTCAGCCCAGAAGTGCTGCGGCAGATGAGAGGCATGTAGCATAACTCTAGCCATTTCTTGTAATGTTCGATTCTTTCTATCCACTACACCATTCTGTTGAGCAGTTCTAGGAGCTGAGAACTCATGTGATATACCGTGCTCGGAGCAAAAATCTGAATATAGTGAATTCTCAAATTCTTTTCCATGATCACTCCTCAATCTCTGAACTTTTATTATAGACTCATTCTTTTCCTTCTGAACCCTTATACACAAAGTTTTAAAGGCCTTGAAAGCTTCTGATTTTTCTCTTAGAAAGTATACCCAACTGTATCGAGAAAAATCATCTATACACACAAATATGTATTTCTTTCCCCCAATGCTTTCTGTCTGTGTTGGCCCCATGAGGTCTATGTGAACAAGGTCTAGACACTTCTCAGTGGTGATGCCTCTTACTGCTTTGTGCAGAGTTCTGATTTGTTTCCCAATAGCACATGCACCACAGATTTTTTCAAGATCTATTCTGATCTTAGGTACACCTTTCACAGCTTCCAGTTTTATCAGCTTATCCATATCTCTGAAGTTTACGTGACCCAGTCATCTATGCCAGAGTTTTGATTCATCAGATTTGGATAGGTGACATGCAGTTTCATTTGCCAAAACATAACAATTGTCTGAGGATCGGGTTCCTTCCATGACCAGTTCATTTGCTTTGTCACTAACTCTGCAGCAGTTACGATCGAAGCACACATTCCAATTTCGATCACACAACTGACTGATGCTAATCAGATTAGCTTTCAACCCACTGACTAGCAGACTTCTTCTAATTGAGGTAGACCTAGTACATTCAGGGTTCCTTTCCCAACTATTTTCCCTTTTTGTCCATCTCCATATGTTACAGCTCCACTGGTAGGTTGAACAGCCATCAGACCCTTTACATTTCCAGTCATATGCCTGGAACAGCCACTGTCGAAATACCATCTAGCTTCAGTTATAGACGCAGTCAGAACTATAGTGGGGTAGCATATAACTTCTGACTTTCTGACCCAGACCTGTCTAGTGAACGATGTAATAGCCTTGTTATGATATTTTTCCTTTCTTTGATATCTGTAGAAAAAATAACATTCAGGCCGAGTATGACCTTTTGTTTGACAGTAGTGACAAATGGGGGTGTAATATCTAACTTTGACAATCTTATTTTTGAACCTTGAATAATGAGATTGATGAGTTACTTTGGCAAGGCCAGTATCAGCAGTATGGTCATATCTCCTTCCCTTGTCAATTTTCTGCACTGACCGAGATGACTGTCCTTGTTCAAAGTTGTGAACAGCTGTGGTCTTAAACATACCCTCTTTGATGAACATAGGTGCATTATTTCAAGATTCACCTCGTTCAAATCCCAGACCCTTTTTATCATTAGGATTTTTGCCAGAGTTTAGAATCTTATCTAAGGTTGATGTGGTGCCCATTATCTGGATATTTTTCTTCAGACCCTCCAATTCCTTTATCAGTTTTCCTTCTCTGGATCTTATCTGAGTGATAAGATCTTCTTTTATGACAAGGTCTGTATTCAGTTTCTTTAGAAGATCATCCCTTTGCTTCAGCTCGTCATTCAGATTTTTATTGACTTTCACAAGTTGTTCCCAACTTGCAACAAGTTTAGCAAATTCTATTTCAAGTTGAGTATGTCTCTCTTCAAAATCATCAGTTGATATGTAAGATTCTTCATTTGATTGGTTTCCGTCTGACTGAAGGTCTGTAGCAGTAAAGAAGGCTACAAAGTTTGCCACATTATCAGATGATTGATCATTGGATGTTTCCTCCTCATCATCGCTTAAAGTAGCTACCGACATAGCCTTTTTCCTCTTGAGATACGTTGCACATTCAGCCTGTATGTGTCCATACCCTTCACATTTCTTACACTGTACTGACCGGTTGAGGGATTTCCCTGTATCTGTGGAACTGTTTCTGTTTTGTCTTGTTCGACCAGTTTGAGATTGATTATTCTGTGAGAAAGGTGTTGTTTCAGCTTTCTGATATGAGGAGTTGTTGCCTTTTTATTGTGTCCTGGTAGACTGACCTTGACCTTTTCTGTTGAAACCTTTTAAGATTTTCTTGAAATTCTTGGTTAGAAGTGCCAAAGTTTCATCATCTATGTCGTCTGTGTCAGATTCTCGATCAGCATCAACCACAAAAGCCACTGATTTTCCTTTTCTATTGCTTGCAAGATCATCATCAGCAAGTACTTCCAGTTCATATGTGTATAAGCTTCCCAAAAGTTCTCCGACAGTCTTCTTTTTCCAACATGTGTGTTCCTGAATAGCAGTAACTTTCATCCGGAAGCGCTTAGGCAAAGATCGAAGGATCTTTTTGACTACTCTTTCATCAGTGAAAGGTTCACCAAGAATTGAGGCTCGGTTCATCAGATTCTGAACCCTAGTGTGGAAGATCGAAATGGTTTCCTCTTCATTCATTCTAAGGGCTTCAAATTCTGACAGTACCATTTGCAGCTTTGACTGCTTGACATCACTAGTTCCTTCAAATCTGGTTTCAAGAATCTCCCATACCCGTTTAGCTTCTTTTACCCCTGTGACCAGAGTGTAAACAGATTCATGCAGAGATCCTACAATCGTATTCAAAGCTTTGTTGTTTAGATCAGAAGCATTCATTTCATCGTCTGTCCAAGTCTCCATGGGCTTATCTTCAGTGGTTCCATCTGCATTCTGAACAGTTGGACGGCTCCACCCAGTCAGTTGGACGGCTCCACCCAGTTAGGACAGTACGATACACTCTGGTACCTTGTGCTTGGAGATATATCTCCATGCGAGCCTTCCAGAAAGAGTAGTTGTGACCATCTAGTTCTGGTGGTTTCATACTCGCATCCATCCTGAATACAAACAACCAGCCAACAAACACACACAGAGGCAGTTCCAAAAGGCAGAGAACAATGCAAAACTAAACAAAACAGCCCGTACGGATCAAGTCACTATGTAGACTTAAAAGCTCTGATACCACATGTAATTTTGCATTTCCTCTTTTTATAAATAGATTAACTGGATTAATCAACTAACAAAATATACTGACTGATTCAGCGATGAAGTCAGTCAGTCATAATAAATCATAGAGGCGATTAACGAGAAGATAACAGCACAGAGACAAAGACACAGAATGTTTACCCAGTTCGATACAGTGTGTATCTACGTCTGGGGGACGATCACATAGGCGTCCAATCCACTAAATCATAATCCAATGTACAAAGGTAGATATACAATAATCTTACCCAAGTGCCCCACACAAGGTACATACCCAGTCTACACAGGTTTAGTGGATTGTTGAAGATGGAGAGTCATGCATACAGAAGTCCAATGAAATCCCTTCACTTGGAGAGCCCACTCTGATGCAGTCCACTTCAAAGACGCTCTAAACAGTTGTTCCCACAACTGTGTGATCACAGTGTCCTTTCGTTTAAGCAGCAGTGATTCTTCTCAAGTTCATCATCTTAATCACCATGAACAAGTTGTATTGAGAAGATGCATGACAATCAAAGTACTCGTCTCAAATAGCAGATGTGGAGTGTTTCTTCTTACTTTCGGCGTAACCCTAATTCTCGTTGAATAAGAGAACTTATAGATCCTTCAATAAACACTCTCCATAGATGACTTTGATTGTAGAAAGTAGGACTGTAAATGAGGAATGTAATCTCTGACGATTAGGTCCATAACTTTACAGAAAATATACGCTGATCTTCTTTCCAAACTTGTCTGCTTATACCGCGTACAGCTTTATAGAAATCAGCTTCCTAAATCATATCTTCAGTGTCAGTCCTTCTGTTGTTGCTTCTGATTGATCAGTCGTCTGTAGAGCTGGACGGACAAACTCTAAACCTATCTTACTATGCCATAATAATATTGCCAATTATAATATGGGGTTTTTGAACAATTAAAAACACTAACTACCCTAAACAAACTTTCTCTGAAGTGGATATTGGAAATAATCCTAGTTATTGCTGGCGTAGTATTATGGCTGCCAAAGGTTTAATAACTAGTGGAGTGAGACGGCGGATTGGGAATGGAAATAATACATTAATATGGGAGCACCCCTGGCTACATGATGAATTGGAACCCATGATTCAGACAGAAATGCCACCACAATTAGCAGGAGCAAGAGTTGGGGGCTTAATTGATCAATCGACTAGTACATGGGATCCTGATATTTTATCAGATATTTTCCAACCAGATGATATACCTAGAATATCAAAGATCCCGGTATCACTGGAGTATGAGGACATATGGTATTGGTATGGGGACCCAAATGGATGCTATACTGTCAAGAATGGGTACAGGCGTATTGTAGGCACTTATGAGGATAACTATGGGTTTGATAAGTGGAACACCCTATGGAAGCTAAAAATTTCCCCAAAATGGAAAACCTTCTTATGGAGAGCAATAAGTGATATCCTCCCCACCACCACCAGTTTAATTATAAAGCGGGTAGATGTTAACCCTATATGTGCCATGTGTGGACTAATGGATGAAAATATTATGCACTCATTGGTTTTGTGTGATTATGCAAGAACCATATGGGATCAATCCAACCTTCCACTTCCCCATTTTGTGAGGAATATTTTTCAAGAATGGTTTCGAACGATCTTAAATGTTCTAGACACTAATGGGGTATTATTTGCAGCTGCAATTTTATACAATATTTGGAGAGCTCGGAACGAAGCAGTCTGGAATTCATGCTTACCCATGCCGAAGAAAATCCTCGCGATGGCCATCACAACCATGCAGGCGTGGCAGCAAGTACATCACGCCACCACGCCAGCGCCGGCCGATCCACACCAGCCGCATTCCGTACAGGCACTGCCCGCCCATACTCCCGGAACAGTAGCCACGCGGCCCAAGCATTGCTTCATCGATGCTGGATACAGGCAGCAGCCAGGATCAGCCACAGTACGTGCAATCTTGTTCGACGATCACGGAGAATATATAGCGGCTTACAGTGCGTCCTTACACAACTGCTTCTCGCCACATATGGCCGAAACTATGGCATGCAAAGAAGTGTTGTCATGGCTCAGAACACGTGGAGAATCTTCGATCGAAATATTTACGGACTGTCACACACTCCAGGCACATCTGTCCTCTACTGAGACTCGATCTAGATCTTATCTTGGCTATGCTCTTGATGCTTGTAGAGCATATATGGCGATGCTTAATTATTGTTCAATTAATTTTATTCCTACATCGCAGAATTATTTAGCACATATGTTAGCTTCGGATGCTTTTAATTACGATTTACCTATGTACTAGGATACTATCCCACCAGACTCAGTTTCAAGTTATCTATAAATACAACCTCATTGGTTCCTAAAAAAAAAAAAATCTCATTAATTAGAATAGTTTTAATTCAAATTAATTATAACTTTACACTTAGATTTAACAGTGTTAAGGAAAAAGCATAAAAGATGAGAGGTAACATAAGAACTTATTTGTATTAGTATCACAAAAAGAATATGACCCTGTTTAGTAAATAGATGTTAGCTGATAGCTGTTAGCTGTTAGTGATTGGGTTAATTAAAGGGTATAACTAGTTGATAACATTAGCTGATTGTAGAAAGGTATTTGGTAACTTAGCTGTTATCTAATAGTTGTTTGGTATAATTTATTTTCACAAAAAGCTAATTGAAAAGGTTGCTTTGAGCAGCTTTTTGAATTTTAACATTTTAGAGTTACAAAAAGCTAATTAACCAAACACTTATATTGATTTTTTAACTAAATCAAACAGTTAATAATGATCAAATAAGCCAAAATTAATTGGCTATAAGCTAACTATTTTACCAAACAGGATCTATATGTTACAAGTCATTAATGCAATCTATTATACTTATACAATTTTATTACCATTATAATAATCATAATATTATTGGTTGTTATTATATTTTAGTAGATATTATATGTATACCTCATTGCTAACCAGAGATCAATTGTGATTGGAGCTTCTCCGACCACTCGAGCTAGGGTCAAGAGGGAAGTCCAGACTAACGATGAGAAAGCAGACAACGCGGAAAGGAGCACCACTGGAGTCACCGTCCGTTGACTAGGTCTGTCTCTCTCTCTCTATCAGAGTCTCACAGGTGCTTTAACAGTACATTTTGTCTGATGTTTACATGCCAACACAAAAGTAGAGTTAAGATTTGGTCCCTTGACTATAGCGAAATTATTGATTTGATCCTCGACTATCATTTTTACCAAATTAAGTTTTCAACTTTGAAAATCTTATTCAATTTTGTCCTCTCGTCAATTTGAGCCGTAAGATGATAACAGAGGATGAAATTGGGTAAGATTTTCAAAATTGAGCACTTAATTGGTAAAGATGATAATCGATGACCAAATTGATAATTTATCAATAGTCAAGGGACCAAATCGGTCATTAACTCCACAAAAGTAGATAAATAAAAGAGTTAATTACCAAAATAGTCCCTTGACTATAGTAAAATTATCAATTTGGTCCTCGACTATTTTTTTGACCAATTAAGTCCTTCAACTTTAAAAATCTTAACCAATTTGGTCCTCCGTTAATTTTGCCGTTAAACTTCCGTTAACTTGGGACCAAATTGATAATTTTTCTATAGTCAAGGGAGTATTTCAGTAATTAACTTTAAGGGTGGCAATTCGATTCGATTTTCCTTAACCGAACCAAACCATACCGAACAATTCGGTTAAGAACTGAAAGGAAACACCATTTGATTTTATTTAATAATAATAATAATAATAATAATAATAATAAAAAGTAAAATCAAGTCCCTTGATGTCTCCTTTACCATTCAACCATTTCCTTATTATTATAATAATAATAACTAATATTTGTCCAGTACGATGCACTGAAAATATGTTATAAAAATATACTCTATATGAGGTTTATTCATATATAAAATTTTTGTTATTTAATAATTATTATGTGTGAATTCCTATAATAAAATTATGAACATAAATATATTTACAATTAAAATAATATTTAAGGTGGGTGATTACTACAAATCTTAAACTATATTAAAATTTTTAGTACATAGTATTTAATATTACAAATTTTTAAGAACTTAGTAAACTACAATAGTAATTGAATTACACTTTTAAAATCACCACGGATCAAATTTTTTAGACCTTTGAGATTTCTAACTCTAGATGTAGCAACATACAATTGATCTTTAAAGACCAAAATCACAATCTTAGTTCGAACATTGATTTTTTTTCCAAATACTATCGAATTAAGTGTGTAATCAATAAAAGATGAGAACTAATAATTCGAGAATATAATCTTAATGTTACTAAGCCACTTCACGTCAATTAAGTTGGAGAGTGTTGTTGGATAGTATCCGATGAATCCACGAATAACGCATCTTTGTCTCCGTAGTCCTCAATATGCACATCAACAATCTTAAATATTAGGCCGCCTAGCTATGCCATATATTAATTTCAAATTTATGAACTTTGGGGTTGCATGCAATAAAAAGTATATTTTAAATATACTAAGGGTACATTATATATGTTTGTAAGGTACTTTCAATATAAAAATAATGTATTTTTAACATATTAAAAATGTATTTGATATTCATGATCCATACAATTATGTGGACCATCGTTCACACAATAATTTGCCAGTAGAAATTGAAATATAAATAAATAAATAAATAAATATATATATATATATATATATATATATATATATATATATATATATATATTAGAAACTGTCCGTGGAAATTATTATCATTATTATTATTATTGCAATAATTATTATTATTATTATTATTATTGTTATTAGTATTGTTATTATAATTAACAATATTATTATGGTTTTGTGAAAATTAAATATTGATTATCAACATTTAATTTTCACAATAACAATATTATTATGGTCTTGTGAAAATTAAATGTTGATTATCACCATTTAATTTTCACAAGACCATATAGCTTTATTATATATAGGATAATAATAATAATAATAATAATAATAATAATAATAATAATAATAATAATAATTATTATTATTATTATTATTATTATTTTGTATTTTTATTTTTATTCTTATTATAATTATATTTTAATTAAAATCAAACGGTATTTCCAATCAGTTTTTAACCGAATTGTCAAGTACGGTTAATTACTTTAATGTACGGTACGGTTTAGTTTGCGAAAAGCGAACCGAATTGCCCACACCTAAAATTAATTACTGAAATGATCCCTTGACTATAGAAAAATTACCAATTTGGTCCCAAGTTAACGGAAATCTAACGGCAAAACTAACGGATGACCAAATTAGTTAAAATTTTTAAAGTTGAGGACTTAATTGATAAAAAAAAAATAATCGAAGACCAAATTAGTAATTTCACTATAGTCAAGGGACATTTTGGTAATTAACTCTAAATAAAAGTAATAATAAAACCAAGGATAATAACGACATGCATGGATCGAATTGATTTTGCAATATCAAACAACTTGTCACACTTTTAATCTCCTCCTCTCATTGGTTATGATTGTTCGAAAAATGTCCACGTTAAGATCAGTATGTTCACATTTTTTTGGATGAGATTAAATTTCTTTCAATTATATTTCATTTTAGACTATGAATGTGTTTGAATTGGTTCATAGGTTCGACATAAGGAATGGGAATGAAAAATTATATATTTTGTTTGATTTACAACTTTTTAAAACATAGGTATACGATTTGTCGATTGAATTATCCCTATAATTAAAAAAGTTTATTACCTAATTTAAATTAAGTATTATTTCATTAATTCAGTCTTATCCATTTTGATTTCATTGTCTCCTCATTTCGTCGCCTCCTCACTACATAGGATTACTGCTTTTAGATTTTTGTTTTGATTTTCGGTTTATATTGGTGATTTGGATGTCATCATATTAAGATCAATTATCTTAATTTTTTTGTTTTTGTATTTTTAAAACTTTTATTCCAATTATAGGGTTATGCATAAGTGCATAACAAAACAACAATATTTGTAATTATTCCAATTTTAACTTACCACTAAACATGCAAAATACTTTCACAATGCGTATTTCGATCAATTACAAGTATTTGATTCCCATTCAAATTTTGATTCTCATATTCAAACGAAACACACCCTATGTATGACCAAGTCTAAGATTCAATTTCATTGTAGACTATCTTATTTTGTTGAGTACTATTGGTAGTAGTTTTGATAGTGTTCACTACACTAAAAAATAACCCACATATAGTTATACCTACAACTATCAATATTGTAACATTATAATTATTATTATTATATGTATGCCTAACTAGTAAAATAAATAAATGAACCTTTGAAATTTATAGATCAGTTAGAACCTACAAATTCAAGGAATTGTAAGAATTTTTATTTTTACTTTTTTAATCACTTAATTAGGGTGTGATTGGTTCGCACATTCATGAGAATCGGAATCAGAATGAGAATCAAATACTTAGTAATAATAATAGATTTTGGTGAAAGTATTTTGCATGTTTGGTAGTAGGGTGTAATTGGAATGATTATCAATATTGATAATGTTTGATTATGTATGACCATATAATGAGAATAAAAGTTTTTAAAATACAAAAACAACAAATCAAGGTGATCCTAATATAATGACATCCAAAACACCAATATGAACAAAAAAATCAAAATAAAAATCTAAAAGCACTAATCCAAACTTAAAAATCAGATTACCAATAAAATGAAATGATACCCGTTTTTAATTAGGGGATGAGATTTTTAATTGAAGGGATAATCAAATCCCATAGTTGTGTGTCAAGCACCTTGTGCTCAGATGACATGTATTAACTCTTCCATATGGGAGGTCATGAAATTGAGCCTCAGTGGAGGCGGTGGAGGTGTTAACTCTTTGTGCTTCAACAGGTTGAAAAAATGTGTATGAACAGATACTACAATATAATAAAATTAGTAACTTTAAAAAAAAAAATCATAATTATGTTTTAAAAGTAGTCAACTAAACATTAACAATAATTTTAATTCATATTTTTGATGTATAAACCTATGAACCAAATACACCTTTACATATGCTTTAAGTATAGTAACCCATTTGTATTAGTTTGGGAAGAATGATACGTAGAAGGATGTATTTCTCGAATAATGATAGTGATTCATATGGAGACATTTTAGCTTTGTTAGTGTAGTGTAGTCGATTCTATTCTAGCGATTTATTAACATATTAAAAAGATGGGGCGGTGGAGAGTCAAAATCAATAGTGAGTGAGAAAATTATGTATCAATACATATGCATAGAAAACATTTCTAAATTGCTTCAGATCGAGAACATTAAAAAAACAAACATATATATATATATATATATATATATATATATATATATTTTGATATATATATATATATATATATTACTATCCACTTTATTACAAGATAGTATCTGTTTAATAACAACATATTTATTTATAAATTAATTCCATTTTTTTTTCTAATATAGCCATATATGTGACAGTTCACTTTTAATCATTTTTATAATACTCACCTTTGGTTCTAGTATTACTATGATATGATCATTTTTTGTCGTCCGTCAATAAAATCATTGAGATGACATTAAATACAATGACATTTTGATTTTTTTTTTTTACAAAGTGGGTTGACGCGCTATATTTTTTTTTTTTACTATTTAAAAAAATATCTATTTGAAGACCGAAATACTCTTGTATTTGATTAAATTTAGAATATTTTGTTGATAAAGGACAAAAAATACTCATGCCACAATAATATATACTAGGACCAACGGGAATATAATGTTCATAAAAAAATTACTAAAAGTGGAATGACCCCTACAAATATATAACCAAAAATGAAATTAACTCTTTATTTATTTTATAAAACGCGCAATGTTAAAGTATAAAGTAATGATTCAGAAAACTCCCCCCCCCCCTCCCCTCCCCCTCTCTCTCTCTCTATATATATATATATATATATATATATATATATATATATATATATATATATATATATATATATGTAGAATTAAGTTTCAGTGCGGATACATGTTTCCCGTGCGGTTGTGCGGTGAGTAATGTGCGTGAGTTTTG